TCCAACCGTGAATGAAAAGGACGATTTGAAAAAGATTTTAGTTGAATCTTCACTTTGAATATTTTGACAATTAAATAATTAATATATCTATTCTGTTTATTTTACTTTGTAGATTGCTATTATTATTTTGTAAATAGTTTGCATTGTAAATATTAGCACCACAGTATAAGGAATAGTCCGTCAACGAATACTTACGGACGTATGAATTTAAGTCTCAAGTTGTCATTGTTAAGGAACTACATACAAATGTATTGTTTTTAGTCCTTCTATGGAGGACCCTGAAATCAGATAAAAATAAATTTAATGATAATTAAATTTAATAATCCTTCAGTTATGATATAGTGTGTCAAGATAAATGCGGCACTAGACGTGACTTCTAAAGGCGATGGCTCGCTGTAAGATCTAACATTGCTATACTGAGCTTGTATTTTAGTAGAAATCATATTTAAAATTAAAAATATAGGTATCTTACTTATATTGTAAATGCGGAAGTTTGTGAGTGTGGATGGATGGATAATCTCTCTCGCAAAAAATACGGAATTGATTTTGAAGAAATTTAAGCTTATACATTAGAATAACACATAGGTTATAATTTAAAAGGATATTATGTGAATTGGGCGAATATCAAGTAAGTCTGATGGTCACGAAGTTGCACGGTTCACCATAATTGTAATAATATATATTGATATATAAAAATAATTCTAATAATATTTTTTAAACAATAACGTAAATGTTTCTATTTTGTTGGTACGACATACATATATTTACCTACAGCACAGAGACAAAGGCAAAATTTTAATAGTCATATTTTAGCCGTGGAATTTGTAGGTATCAATATAATTGTGAATGATACATTCCAACTATCAAATGGTAGAAATTAAATTAAAATTATTCGCGTGATCGAAGCTTTTGTGATGCGGGCGCTGACGAGTAGTGGGTACGAGTGCGGCGGCGTATCCTTGCACATTGCTCATGCATACGCCTCGCAAAGAACGCCAAATGCACCGTGAAATTGCCTATTTTCCACGTGATTTTGTTTATTTATTTCATATGCCGATGTTATTACAATTATTGCAATCGCTCTTTTTAATTGGGAGTCATTGAATTGGTAAATTTGCAGAAGTATTCCACACTTAAACTACAGCTACTGATTCTTGAAAATTTGTGAACCTTACTATATTTACAAGGAATGGTTACCTGCAATGTGTCCTCGAAAGTAATGCGTTTCCTTGTGATATGGCCCATACGGCTGTACTGAACCGTATCCCATACCTAGTAGAGTCTTGTTTAGAATGAATACGAAAGATAGATAATATCATTTACCTCACTCAAAACGGAAACTGATTCATTTCCGATGCATGGTTGAAGCTCTTTGTGCTGGAGTTCGTCGGTAGCGAATTGCTCACGTTTTCAACATTTTGATTGCGACATCAATATCGGTGAAGTGTTGTTGATTACATCACACTTTATGTCACTGTGATTGCAAATACTGATCTCTTTTTTCATTTTGATACGAGACTGCATGTTGCATCTGTACTACTTAGCCAGATAAAGTTAATATTATTATATACCAGCAAAATCACAAACTTTACATAAATATCAAGTACTAAAAAAATAGTTTTAATTACAATAATAATAATAATAAACTGTACACAGTTCACACGCCAGAGCATCATCTAGTCCCAAACTAAGCAGAGCTTATATTATAGGGACTAGACAACTGATATAAATACATAGATACTTTTTTTGTAAATACATACATAATATGTATAGAAAACACCCTGACCGACACAAACAACCATACTCTGTGTATTCAACACTGTTTGTGCCGTGCGAGGAATCGAACTTGCGATCATCGGAAGTAAAGCGGTGTGCTAAACCGCTAAATGACCGAGGCCGTCAATAATACTTGTCATACTCTAAACATATCCAATTTTTAAGTTGAGTATTACAAACATAATAATATATTATATGAAGAAGATTATGTCGAATTGAATCAAATATATAGTTTAAACAGTGAAAGAATTTCTTAAAACGGTGCAGTGGTTCAGGAACTGCTTAACTTTCCGCATAACAAAATTTGCATTTGCTTTCATTACAATATATGTGTAATATGACTATAACTTCAAAGTTTCTTAGGCTAATCCATGTTCTATATAATTTTATGTATGCTATCCTTTAAAAGTATGTAATATTCCAAACAGTAATAGAATAATACAGATAAATAATATAATTTGGATGTACACAATTTGAATAAAATAATCTCTTAGATTTATATAAATGTAAATGTTTCAAACATGAAATTTCCCCGGGCACTCCTGTACGGGGATTAGGGAGTAAAGACTAAACAACAGACGCTGACTGGCATCTCTCGGGCGAGCACTTTCCAGCTCCGCGAAGGAATCGCGTCTGCAAAATGCAACAATGCATAAGAATTCAATGTGACATTTGTATCTAAATATAATTCAACTGAATATACAGATATTTGTATGCTTATTTTACAAATTGATATTATTTTTTCATTTAAGAAATTTACTTTTGTTGGAAAAATTTTTACAATTGTTTTGATTTTATCCGAAGCCTTTAGAGTAGATACTATGCACTCATCGCTCGTTTCACTTCGATTATATTGATTTTTCCGATTATTTTTATATAGGTATAAAAAAGAAATAAAGTATAATCTACTTAGATCCTATAATTATTGTATTTTACGATTAAATTTAATCTGAATAATAATAATGTTACGTTACGTTGTTACGTTAAAGGTTACACATTAATAATATACTTACTCGTAATTGATTTCAAATCGAACATTATTGAGACATAAAATCTTGTAAATAGCTTATGTACACAAAGAACGATACTAAGCCGATTGGTAGACGTACACAAGGGTTTGCACCTATTGCAAAGTTCAGCAATTCATAGATTGGGCGCAATGTGGGCGATGCTATGCCTCAGGTGCCGTTTTCGACGGTAAAGTTGCTCTAAGCCGCACTGAGCTCTACTTAGTGTCCATGCAGCCTCCGGAGCTCGGTTAATGTTATCCCTGTTCTCAAAACGACAGTTATAGTTAATAGCCAATCTTATTTAAAGTAAATATATCAACTACATAAGACAAACATAAATACACAAAATATTATTCAATATGTTATTTCGGATAAAAGCTAACGTATTCCACGAGGCTGAAGTTTGTTGAGTAGCATTAAAAGATTAAAAGTCGACAGTTCGCTCAAGCTGTATCGAATGGAAACTGGAAACGATCTCTCGACTCCACTGTAGCTAACATATATTTGTGATGCAGGCGGCGCGTCCGTGGCAAACTTCGCCTGGCGAATGCAAAAATTTAAATTAAAAACATAAATCAGGCGTGTATCGAGTAACTTTCGAGATCGGCGTATAGGTGTATTTCGAGTACACAGTTCTGGTAATACTTATGTATTCTGGTATCGTTGCTTTGTTTATTGGTCTGTTATGTTACTGAAATAATTAATATTATTATTGATTTTAGTTTAGCAATTAGCTGGCAGACGTATTATACCGACGTTAGCGTTTGTAACACAGTACAACTAGTAAGTTTTGAAAGTGTCGGCTTAAAAATAAGTACAGGAATGTATTATTTTGAGAACATAGAATAATATTCAAAAGTGCAGGTTACGTTTTGGCTTTTATATATAAACTAAGTACTCGCCACTATAAACCTTCCTCTATCATATATATGAAAAATCCGTTGCGTAGTTTTCAAGATTTAAGCATACATATACATAGGGACAAACTGCGACAGCGACTTTGTTTTATACTATGTAATGATGGAAAGATTCAATATAAATTATTTAATGGAACAAATATTGCTATTTATGCTGATGGTGATTATAACGTTTCTAAAGATTTTGTTACTTTTTTCTTCTCTTATATGAGAAGATGACTTTATTAACTTTATAACACTATAATATAGTGTTATATCTTTAAATACTATAAAGATAAAACAAAGTATTATTCCTCTTTACGCTTTCTACCTATCTTACAAGGGACGTAGCGTGAAGGAATATAGATTAGTTACAATGTTTTCTATCATAAACACTCAAATTATATTGCCGAGCGCTCGGAAAGTGGAAAAAAATCTTGTTATAGGAAAATGTACTTCACAGATAATTACCGCGCAAGATTCTCGGCTAAGTGTTTTTGAAATAATTGCTTGGAATATTATGAGTATCATAATTTCATAATCTTAATTAAGTAAGGTTTAGGCAGTCAAATTATAAATTTTAATCTTTCGCAAATTCGTCTTGAAAATAAACCGCTCACTGGAATAAATGATTTGTTTTAAGAAGGCTTGAGTATTTTTTGTTCACTTAATTTCTGTCAAACAAAAAATAGAAGTATTATATTTTGATATTTTTCATAATAAAATTCTAATATAATACTGAAATAGTATTTAATGTATTATTCTGACAGTCTACCTTCATACGTATCATCAGTGGTTTTCATACAGCTTCTCTTCAATATATATGTTTTTATCGCTAAACTAATAATAACTTATAACGAACTTATATAAATATATATATATATATATATATATATATAGTCACATAAGTTCATTATATATATATATATATATATACCTATACACTTATGTGAAAATTTCGTTTTGGGTATAATAGTTTAAAGAACGAACACATCTAAATAATTTATGATTTATTATTTTCATACAATATTATCACTGAATAATCTCAGTATTTACTATGTAAGTTTTCATATTAACAGATTTAGGGAGAGATATATTTTATAAATGATTGTCGACTAAAACCCAGTTATTTTAAAAATAAGTATACCGAGGTTATTAAAATAGCTAACCGTTTATTTGATTTAATTATTTTATTTGACTAACGATTACAAAAGTCGATGACCTTTGCCTACAATATAGTTTACTGCAATATGTAGGGTTGACTGTAGCGTTCATAATGAGAGGTGTGCAGACTTAATTAGATTTGGTTTGATTGCAGCCGTGAGTGCCGTCAGCTGGGAGGAATGGTGGACCTACGACGGTATTTCAGGTGAGTACAGTTCAATTTAGAATATTCTAGATGCTACTGAAGTTAATGTATCCACATTTGAAGTACGAGTGGCTTACTTTTAGTATTTTGTTATTAAAGCGTTTATTTTGCTGCACACAACTTGTATGTTATATATTTTTTATTAGCTAAGTCGTAGGTCTTATTTTTTGTTATAAATATATGGTTAAACCTGTATATGCTGGATTTCTTTGTTTAAATAGCATATTTACATGTTTTAGATAGATGGACGTAGATAGCGTGTTAGAACGGATTCGGATAAAACACCGAGTTTTATCCGAATCCGTTCTAACACGCTATGAACACACATAATGTTCTCCAATACGAAATAACTTGTTCTAAATATTGTGGTAATATTAAAATACATTAAACAGGTATGTTTGCAATGAAGTATTTATTAAAATTAGATTTTTAACATATCTTTATATTGAATATAACAACAATTTCAGTATTTTAAGTTTGTAGGATTCCAAAACAAAAGTAAATTGAAAATTATACGGCGCTATTTTTCCAATGAAACAACGAAGTACATCAGTTTTGTCAGTTCAGTTCATCATCAGTTTGATCAGTGGATCAAAATATACACATAAAAGGTTCCCTTATAGTTAATAGAACAGGAATGTGGTTAAAAAAAATCAATGCACCATAGATCCGCAAGACCGCCGCATAACATTCGTTTGTGGGCCGTATCAATTTCTCTGTGCCGATAACATTTTTGCCGGTTTTACGTGACACGGAATTTATACGGGCGATTTATCATGCATTCATATTACCCACGTTGCGAACCAAATTGTGAGGTGTCGTATCTTGTCATTCTGTTACTTATACATATACTGCGATGTCTTTCTGACTGTGTAGCTTTAATGTGATAGGCACTGTTCTACTATTAAATAGATCTGCGATCTTTCTTCAGTTCTATATAAATAAATTTTAATTACCATAAAAACCGACATTATTATAATATCAATTGAAGTATTAGAAACGTGCTTGTCTTTATTGTTATTTATGCTTCTTTTATGCATTGTATGGAACTATTAGGTTTCTTGCTATTGTGAAGCAATTAATGTTAGTAATATGGCAACAATGCCATAAGAACAAGAAGTAAAACAAGCTGTGCGAAGTATGAAGAGCAGTAAAGCCGTAGGACCAGATGGAATACCAGTGGAAGTTGTACAAAGTTATTATATTATTATATCTCTAAATAAATGTAAGAACTAAAAAAAAGTTATTTCTGTTAGTATCTATCTTAATCTCGATTATTTTTTCTGCCATTAACAGAAATAGTTCATCTTACTTGCTGTGTATTTGTAGGAATATAGTTGTGATATCTGTATGAAGCTTTAATGTGATAGGCACTGTTCTACTATTAAATAGATCGGTCTCATTTTTGTTGTTCCAAATACTTAAATATCAGCAAAGACAACTTTCTCAACAATTAGGTGCAATTCCGTTAATTTTGCCGACAGATTCGTGTATAAATAAATTTTAATTACCATAAAAACCGACATTATTATTTACACTAACGCAAGAGTAAACTTTGTCTCTAGAAATAATATTAATCAACAGTGGTAACAGATACAAAAAATACAGTGAAATATATAAACATATAAATCATTTTGTAGTTTTTTTTAAAGCCGTTAAGATATTATAAAATAAATAACAATAGCCTGCACTACCGAACTTGTTTAATTAAAAACGTAGTCGGCACTCTAGTGAAGCCATTCGATTTTTCGACGTCGATAGCCTAATATAACCCCGGGAATGCCAATCGTATAAGAATTCTCGTACAAATATCAAATTTTTAGGCGGATATTTTCATCCTTCTACATGTTTGTACGAGATTTCGATTTCGGTTAAAAATACGAGAAAGTCAAATTGAGTTATTATATGAAATTTTATCATATTTTTATTATTTCGTCCGAGGCTAAGTATTTTAAGGTTTCCAACATCACATAATAATAGGCTTCTGCAATATTCAAACACATAGTCCCATTAGTAGGGCCAATGTTGTGGTTTTATCCACTTGTTTAATTAAGCCAGAAGATTATATTATCATTTTATACGACCTTTGTGTAGTACCTAATCCACTTTAACATACTTTTCTTGGAGTATGGTTGTGGGTTCGACCTCCGCTCAATACAAACTTAGTATTTTATGTTCGATATATGTTGTATTTCTACATATTGTTTATGATGTTTTATGTACATTATTTATTTATTAAATACAAATTCGTAGAAATTTGAAAATTTGTGTCACTTGTTTAGCACCAAGCTCTGTTTTGTTTGGGATTAGATAGGTACGTTAATATTGATTATTATTAATATTAAAATATAGTAAATAAAATAGACTGTCTTAAACATAAAATTTTATAAAAGTAACTTATTTAGTTAGTATATTATATAGTTCCTTAATTTATTGTACTTATACCATATTAAAATGAGGAATACCATATAATAATCACTATAAAATATTGTAAAAAAACTGTGATTTAACTATCTACCTACCTACATCCACAAAAGAATGCCTTTGTGCATTTGCAATTTTGGTGAAATTTCACAAACAGTAATGCCAAAAGCGAAAAAGTATTTTGCATTAATGGAAAATTCGCTTAACGCGTGGCCATAAAGTGGGCGTGACCACAACCGTTGCGCCGGCTTACTCATGCAATTTTCAAGGTCATAAATAATAAAACCGTGAACGCGATCCAAAGTACTTTGGCTACTTTTGCACAGCACTTTGCTCCTATATTGAAATACCTCGGGATACCGCTGTTTACATTCAGGGTTCAGATAAACCTCCCTAATAGTTATTGGTTTTTATTGCTTCCCATAGCATGTTCATGTTTAATAGACTTCGATTACCTATAGTACATAGAAGGGCTATAGTCTTGAACAATTAAATAGAAATTTGTTTATTCTGGGGATATTAATTACATTAGATTAGTGGTATTGTTATTCTTAATTTGCTAATTACTGCAGCTTCGCATTACTGTAATTTACAATAACGTGAAGCTGTAGTATAGGAATGTGTTGATGGGGTCAACATATTCCTAGGATTTTAATTTAAGAAATCCATTCTTCATTTGATTGTTTATGTAAGAAATACTTATGGTAAAAACCTGTATATTAACTTGGAACAGTCTTCTTAGTAAATTCGGACCTACTGATGGGAAGTGCTAGCAGTCTGCTAACCTTAGATACTATGAACATAATAATGACGAACAATTAATATAGTACGCTCTTTATACCGTAGATGCTTGCTATTCCGGAGAAATAAATCAATCTTCTTATCCTCTAATTTCAGCTACTTTTCTCACAATACGACTGAAACACAAACTACAATGCAAGCTGCTTGACGGCTGAACTAAGTGAGACTGACGTACCCAGGCAGAAAATTTACAAAGTTTTCCTCCAGATACAAAATGTTTATATTTAATTGTTATGTAATATAAACGTCAGTTTCTGAATTGACATAGATAAGTACCTATCCAAGTATAATGGGCACTGCCCATTGAATTCACAATATGTATTAATTGATGTAGGTACGAACCAAATGCGACGTGTTCGCTTATTATAAGCCATTGTCACAGCGATAATTAACAGGGAATTTCTGTTCCATTTCATATAATAATGAACAGCGTGTGCATGCCCGTCCATAAAACATAGTCCGTTGTTTATCCGAATACATGTAACTTTAGTATTTAAAGTACCTACATACAAGTTAATGAAGCGGTATGGAAATGGTGTTCGAAACCGGCCGATTTAATATTCATTAGCTATGAATGGAAACAATGCAACGGCGAAAGCTATTCCGATTAGATGATTAGGTAGTTCTCGTAGAGCGTTAATATCCGTTTGTGTAAAATTTTGTTTAGTTTTGTGCTTTCGTGTTTGTTTTATGTAGTTAACTTACTAATTTAGATAACGCATCTAGTAATGTATTATCGTGAAGGACTTACAGTATTATTATTAAAATTAATTATTAAATCACATACGTAATAAACAACATTTCTTTACTCATCACACTAAGAATAAAATATATTATTTTTAAAAACAGGAGGATCTAAATTTGATAGTTTTGTTTTCACCGAAACTAAACGATTTTTTGTTATTTAATACGAAAAAGTAGTCGAATTTCCAAGTGATGGAATTTATTCCCAAGTTTATTTAAAATAAACTTATTTTTTAATTAGTATTCCGTTGTTTTTTAAGAAACAAAATACGTTAGATGATAATTTATTTATATAATGTAAATATATCAGTAGTATTATACACATTGAGACTACAATCAGACTGTCTAAGTAGAGTTTGTAGATTTGTTAAGATTTATTCATAGATTAATTTAGACATAACTTTGTTCCAACAGGTCCAGCGTTCTGGGGCTTGATAAACCCGGAGTGGTCGCTATGCAACAAGGGACGGCGACAGTCACCCGTCAATTTGGAACCAGACAAACTACTCTTCGACCCCAACCTACGCTCTTTGCACATAGATAAACATAGAGTAAGTATTTTTATGAATAATGAATCTTATCTTAATTTAATTATAAATGTATTATTATCAAGACTTCGTCCGCGTGGAATTAAACGTTTTTTTTAAATAAATAAATAAAATTTCTAAAATATCCATCTGATTTCTACTGCGTATTTAGAAATCAGACAAATTTTAAAATTGCTTTTTGATTCAAATACCAACATATAAATACCAATACAATGAAAGTTGTTAATTTGAAATTACAAACAGACATTCTAATTTTATTTACTTGTACAGATGTATGTCGAATAATTTAAAGTATTAATCTTTTAGTAAGCTCCCCGATATTTCGAGATTATTGTAAAATATTTTGATTACGGGTCCACTGAAAGTAGTAACTTTTTTCCTAATTTAACTTATGATAATATACATAAACTATTATTTCACCGTAATTTATGTACGAACAAATTTTATCTATCTATAATAGATGCGATAAGTTTTCCATTTGAAAGTGGTTCATCATTTCTTACAGTCGTAGACATAATAAAAACATCGAATATACGGTGACGCCCCTGAAAAACATTTCATACATTCCTATTCTTTTAGATTATTATGCTTGCGCTCGTACCTTTTAGGTACTATCGAATTGATGTAATTTTTCAAACCAAAATACTACTTCCAAAGTAAGCTTCTTTATAGCAGAAATAAGAATTATGAATGATAAGAATTCTTCTATTTAGTCGCGTATTGTATAAGAACTTGAATATTTCCACTCCTGCAACAATATTTTAAATTTTATATGTTCACGATTTTATATTCATTCATAGCATAAAACAAATAAATTTCATATCAGCTTGTAATAATAATAATAATACAACACTCAGTTACCTACTCTTTCAAATAAATTTATTCAAATTACATTCAGTGGTAGGTATAGGATATTAATTTTGTTGTGAAAATAAAATTCTACCCCAATATTTTTTAATCATTAATGAGTTTAAATGTGAGGCTCTGTAAATGAATCCGCGTCCGTTTGTTTAAGCTGTATTTAGACAATTACAAATATTGGTGTTACGTAACTTTTTAATTTATTACGTTTTAAACGTAAACCAACAGAGTATTACGTAGGAGTGGCTTTATTACATTTAACTGTTATTCTTGTTTTAGATAAATGGATTAATAAGCAATACAGGCCACTCTGTAATTTTCACCGTGGAGAATGAGACCCGACATCACATCAACATCACTGGAGGACCGCTCTCCTACAAGTACCAATTCCATGAAATCCATATACATTACGGATTGCACGATCAGTTCGGGTCAGAGCACGCCATCAATGGCTATTCATTTCCTGCAGAGGTGAGTAGTACGTGTTGTATTGTATCATCTCAACGCAAATTTTGTATGGCAGGTACATTCGTAGTAACAGTTAATATACATAAACTTGTCTGGAAACTTTACAGATGGAATCACGTGTATAAACACAGTTAAATAACTAACTATATATTATATATAGGTACATACCAAAACTAAGTATTACATTACTAAACTATTTGAATATTGTTATAAGAACATAGAACTTAGAAACGTTATTTTATATAAAAATGTTAATATCAAACTGCTTACTTCACTGAAATATAATCTTACATATATTTTAACAACGCTCTCAACTTTTTTCGTTATATATTTTCTCTACCAAGTTCGAATCGTAATTTATTGAAACTCAAAGGTAAAAAATCTGAAAGTATATGTTATTATTATTATTTATGGATGGAATTAGTATACGAAATTTGCTAAAATAATATTTCAGCAATGCTCCAAAAATTATCTAAGCATTATGTATTTACATAATACTTACTTATTTTTTGTTGTGTGTGTAGTAGCTCAAGAGCCCATGACGGCCAGACTAGGCCGAATATACGGTTTCAATGAGTCTGGTAGGATAAGGAACCAAGAAAACTGTCTTGCAATTTAGGAAACTCAGTTTAATAGTTCTCTCAATAATATATATAAAGTTCAGCTTTATTAAAATGACGTAAGTTTATTTATAAATAGTATGGTATAGGGGGATCCGGCGGGGGCTTGGAACCACACTAAGTGTCTGGCAATGAGCAGCACAAGTTATAATAATGCTACGAACAATATATGAAAATATGGTGGAATTTGATATGACATTTTTCACACCTTTGTTACCTGTTACCTGCCAAAGGAACCACGATCCTGGTTTCATGTTTGGGGATCGTTCTTACCTGTGTTGGGGACACACATACAAGAACTTTAAGATTTACTAATAAGACGTATGTCTGGCCGTCGTGGGCTCTTGCTCTATAGAAACTTCTTAGTGATATGATGGCAACATATTTTGTTGCCATTCTATTAGTAAGAAGTTCCTCTTAAGTTACAAAGAGGCTTTGGACAATGTCTTCAGCATGAGAACGTCTTACACCTATTAATCTAATCATTACCATGATGTTCCGCATTTTGGTATACGTCTAAGTAAAGTGCGTAAGGTCGACACCCCTGGGGGTTTGCGGCCCATAAGGGTTGGTGGAATACCATTCTGATGTATCAGTTTAAATTACTGACTTCTTAGTGATGATTCGTTTATTGGGTGATGTTTTATGATGCTGGTTTATTGGCCTATAATTATGTATTTAGTGGTTCTTATGTCCTTGAAGTTCGAGAAAGAAATAATTTATTAGACGGGAACATTAATGAACAGACCATATTAATGTTATAAAAAAGAGATATAAAATAATAAGAGAGAGAGAGAGAAGTTTTAACCACTAGTGGAAATCCACTTGGTAACTGTCAACCGTCGTCGTGGCAGTTGTCTATTTATAAGAACAGCACCGACATCACATCGTGATCATATGGGATAGAGGTACCAACGCAGACGACTTTGTATAAAGTCTATCTATATAAAGCTAAATACTTACGGTACCACGGGTATGAAAGAGAGACATGTTCAAAGTCTGATAACCATCAGATGGGCCGCATATGAGAAGCGATCGGTAAGCTCCTATACATCTTTTCGTCCAATTTACCGCAGTGTTTCAAGACGAAGGTTTACGACCAATGTGTGTTGCCAGTGATCACTTACGGTATAGAGACGTGGTCGCTAACCACGCCTCATAAGTAAGCTCAGAGTCACTCAGAGAGCAATGGAGATTCTCAATTCTTCGGGCAGAGAAACTCGAAGCGGGCTATGCTTGGAGTTTTTCTGCGTGATTGCATCAGAAATGAGAATAACCTAGTCCGAAGAATTGTGAAACGAAACGAAAGTGGCAATAGGCACACATCTAGTGGGACAGATGCCTTTGGGGCAGTTAAGTCTTCGAGTGACGACCGCAAACCAGAAAAGGCAGCGTGGGTAGGCCTCTAGCAAGGTCGACCGACGATCTGGTCAAGATCGGAAGGCGTTGGACACGAGCAGCACATAACCGATCGTTGTGGAAATTTTTTGGGGAGACCTTTGTTCAACACTGATAATGACAATGAACCGCATACTTATGCGCATACTTAACTAGATTAGTTCTTGAAACGATGACTGATATGTATACACTAAGAAATGTTCTTTTCAAATACCCACTGAAAAGATAAATATCGAGTTCCACTGTTCCACACTGGCAAAGTGCTACAATTTATATCTTTCCATTTGCTTAAAAACAACTGAAACTTGTCACATTGCGTTTGCTTTTCTCTTTGAACAATTTTATATTACAGTGCATTTCTTGCACTTACTTTTAAGAAAATGGGTAGATGAATTTAATACTTTTCTGTAATAGAGTGACACTTGAACAATTAGTGGCAGAAAAAATGAAAAAGTTGGTAAGCTGTATGGTACAAATAATTATCTCTTACTTGAATCTAACTAAAGTATAATAAATAATAATAATATCCCTGAATAATTAACAGGATCATTTATTCCCAGGCTAAGGAAAGCACGTATTATGGATACTGGACAACTAATATAAATACTTGTAGATATTTTTTCTGTGAATACGGATATATATAACATACACGGAAAACAGCCAGAAGGATATAAACTATCAGACTCATGAATAGCAATTATTGTGTCGTGCGGGGAATTGAACCCGCAACTATGGAAATAATGGGATAAGCTACTAGACCACCGAAGCTGTCATTATAATAATTAGGATAAATTCATATTATAGTTACTTATAATTAAAAACCTGTTAATGAGTAAATAATATATAATGTTGATATAGTTATTAAACTTTACTTTTTACTAACTTAATTTACTTTTTATAAATATAGTGATTATTTTTTGTGGATAATTAAATTACATAGTATAAAACAAAGTCGCTGTCGCTGACTGTTCGTCCTTATGTATGCTAAAATCTTTAACACTACGCAACGGATTTTGAATGATTTTTTAATGTATTGAATGATTCAAGAGGAACGTTTATATGTATAATACATGTACACCTGGGTGAAATAGGGGCGAATAGCTAGTAGTATATAAATACTGGACGGTAGGGAAAAATATAAATACAAAAGTTTTACGTTCATAAGCTGCTAAAGTGTCCTATAAAATTAATGATTTTTGATTTGAATAAAATATAATGATTCAACTCGTACCTTCAAGTACGATAAGTCAATTAAAATTTAACTGACTTCTAATATACAACGAGCTCATAACAAAACTAATTAGTCAAACAGTACTGTGCTTAATATAATATAGCCGTTCTACTAAAGTTCGACTGAGTAAACATCTAGATCAATATAGGTATTGTAATTGCTTGCATATGCACTCATGAATAACAAATACGTGTTGTAATTAATTACACACAGAATTATATATCAACCGTTGAACAGGTACTTCTCTATTAACTACAGCTATATAGTTAGTACATAGGTACCAGTATACTTTTCTTACCTGTTAACTTTTTACATTCGTCATATACAGTTGTTTATCTGTTTTTTTTTTCTATTTATAGGAATAAGCATTTTAAGTGAACATTTTCATGTAAATTTTATAAAAGATACTGTGAAAAACATGTTAGTTACTAAAAAAAAATTTGCATGACGTTACTTGTTAGTTTCTGGAAAAAAATATAGCATATTAAAAAAATAAATATTTATGTCAACAGAATTACTTTAAAAAGAACAACGACTAAGTTCTTAAATATAACTATTATCTTAATTGGGTGGTTACGGAAAAAAACTAAATAAAAAATGTAAACATCAGTGGCTAACATGTTCCATATAAATAAATCTATTGAGTTGATCACTAAACTCAACAATAATAAAACGCAAGTAATCTAAACCCGAGAATATAGAGTAGTGAAACGCCGAATAAACACGTTACGCGCGTTAAAATGTTATCGCAGATTTCTTTGGAGATCTCTGAAGTGAGCGTAACAGATGTTTTTACACGCATGGACCGTGCCGCCGCGCCCGTCGCGTCGCGCCGCGTCGCGCCGAGCCGCCCGCCACCCTGAGACGCTCAAATCCCAAATGTAATCCCGACGAACGACTGCGAGCCAACTCAACCGTGCCTCCTGTTTATTTATGTGACAAATTCTTACGCAGCCACGTTAAATCCGAATTCATGTGCTTACTCTTGTGTGGTTCGGTTTATTCACACAATATCTTAGATTTTTATATATTGCCACTTTGGAAGCATATGAATTGATAGAGTTTATTTATAGACAAGAAAACAAAAGTCTTCGCATGTATAATTCAGGATAAGATAACCTATTGTCGACTGGCTGCCGTTATGTGCTTATATTATTAAACGTAAAGTAATATTTGAAAACTATAACACATTCCGATAAGTGTAAAAATATTAAATAAATAATCTATAGTTAGTTTATAATTATACAATAATTATTAATATAAATATTGTATACTAGCTGTATTTAACTTTATTTTTCTAAAATAAGAGTCCCCTTATTACATCAGCTACCTGGAAAAAAAATTCCGTCAAAATCGGTCCAGCCATTTCAGAGATTAACCGGAACAAACAGTCAGACAGACAAAAATTGTAAAAAATGTTAATTTTGTGTATGTCCCGTATTTATATTCATATGCATGTAATAAAAGTGGTTATTTAAATATTACAAACAGACACTTCAGTTTCATTTATATGTATAGATAAATATTATACAATAATTATTTAACCTGGATATCCTCATGTTCTATCTCTCTTTACTATGCTCTCTTCTAGTGACAGCTCTATACTATACTTTTTTATTGCTCCACTTATTATGGTCCTGTGCTGACTTGTCCTCATAAAATGATGTCCACTATCTTCACTTCGTCACCAACCACTAGTAATAGTGACATACTTATTATTCTGTGATGGCCTTGATCCGCTACCATTTTCTCCAAGCTAAGTATAATTTCATTGCCCACTTCAACTTTGTAAGTCGTTGATCAACATCTCCGATATAGGTTATATATAGGTCAAATTTTAATTCATTAGTGGGATGCCGAGTTCTTATTTGCTGTAATGATATAAATTTTATATTATTACAGCAAATAAAAACTCTGAAAGAAAGAAACTGCAAAGGATTATACTAACATATATTTTTCTCAAAGTGTCTGTATTTTTATTACCTTAGTTACTTCTAATATGCCCGTAAATTTTATTTAAGTTTCATTTCTACTTACAAATATAGGTAATAATCATTACTCATTCCTTTGTTTCAGATTCAAATATTTGGTTTCAATTCACAGCTTTATTCGAACTTCTCTGAAGCTCTACACAAAGCTCAAGGAATTGTTTCAATCTCTTTACTTTTACAGGTAAATATTATTAGCTTTAATTCAATTTTTTCAACCGATTTTGAATAAGATAAGGTTTTTATGTGTGTACAGAAATTAACGATTTATTCTGCCAACTACACAGTTTACTTCTCCATTAGTCTCATAATATTTTTGTCACCACAGTTTTAGATTTCGATGATTTAGTAATATTGGCTGTGCATTAAAGCCAATATTACTAAATCATCGAAATCTAAAAATACATGGGGATTCCTTATGTAATATAGACACTAAATTAGGGTTTTGAAGATGCTCACGGGAACTCTCGAAAGCGTGTTTCGTGCACACAAATCTCCTTCGGCAGGTATTTAATATAAATACTGTTTTGTATCTAATACAAAAATGAATGACGAGGCATATCGTTTGAAAAGATACTATAAAAATAATTTTATGAAGGCGCGTCAGTGATTTGATGGCTCCGTAAGTGATTTGCAATTTTTATAAATTCGCGACTGCGCTTTCACGTAATTGATGTTATAGATGGAGTGCTATCAACGCGGCCGCACCTATTCATAGCCGGCAACCTTATTCCGACCAAACTGAGCGCAGTTAATTAAGGAAATTGGAATTTTCTGCGCTCCATTGGATTAGCCGCTAAAGCTATTAGTACAAATTAAGAACTGAATGAATGATGGTAGCAAAGTATATCGCCAGTCACTTGGAGGGATTAACACAACAACGCACTATAGTTTAAATTAACTGCCGGCTAACCTTCTCTCTGTTGTGTGAATTATATTTAGGGGCTAACACAAATAGTTTAATGCAAAGTAAAGGGACAGATTTTGTTATTACGCTGTATAAAACATCTCTGTACAGGCAGTGTGTAAGGCAGCCAACAAAATATTAGCAATGTTAAATGTGTCTAAAACTGGAGATTTAGGATATTTTAAATTCATGAATGCATAATAATGGCTGTCTTTGTAAATTTATATATAACTAATACATATTTCCTGAATGACCCGACTGTCGGATCTATTCGATCGTTTTATGACCTTTCTTAATGAAGGGTGTTTATCCCTCCGATATTGTCCCAAAAGGGACATGTTTACCGACACGTTCATTATATTTTGCACGTGTATTGTTGACGTAAGCTGAAATAATAAGAACTACTAATATTTTGTATAATACTGGCAATAAATAATAGGCGGTGATAAAAAAATATCACCGTAGTTATAAATAATAAAATAAATCCAGTGCCGTTTAGATTTGGGTACTGTAATGTAATGAATTGTTATTTTCGTACGTTATAAATATTTAATATTGTCCGTAGGTAGTAGTAAAGTTCTCAGTCGAGAAAGCTTTTGCTTGTATTACGTGAACCGTACTAAAAGTTTTTAGAACTGGGCACTTATACTAATTATATCACGGAATCGATACTAATAAAAAAGTTAATTCAAATCTTGAAAATGGAATTCTCTATCTGTATTTATCTGGACCACCAATTTGGGTATTATTTAATGGCAGTTAAAGAATATATTTCTATACTTATTTGTTTTCTTTGAGAAACTGCTCCAAGTGGCATGGTTTTATAATTATATCCGTGCTTTGAATTTGTAAAGTCATGATGATAAGATACTGGTTTATTAAAGCTGTCATAAATAAATATGTATTAAAAATTAGAAAACTATGAATGTTTTCAGAATTAATACTTATAAATAATGACAAAAATAATATAAATTAATTTAGTTCAAGAATTTTTGAGGAAATCGTGAATATGCATAACAATTATTTTGTGAAATTAAATTAAAACAATTTTTTTTTTAATTTTGTCATTTCAGTAAGATAAGATTTTGTATTAATCTGAGATCCATTTGTAGGCACATTTACACTTATGTATCATCTCGTTTTTTTATTGCAGCTTGGTGATTTATCAAATCCAGAATTACGGGTACTGACGGAGGAATTAGAAAATATTAAATACGGTGGTAAGTTTGAAAAAAACTAAACCTTACACACGATATTAAAATCGAGTTTCATAATGTTGTCTAATCAATTATCTCTCAGCAACAACTTCTCTAAAAATGCCCCAGATTTTAGTAATGTATGATTATTTTTAAATTAATATGTACGTTAATTATTTTTGTATAAAAAATGTGCCAATAACTTGTATCTTACAATTAAAAATAATCGAATAAATATTGGCTTTATCTTTATTACGAATTAATTAAATATATTTCAATAATATAACGATGAGGTAACAGAATAATAATGACGATTTTTTTTTTATAAAATAATGGTAATAATAAATCGTATTTACGCTTCCAGCTATCGAGTAACTTTGTGTTGTTTCTATTAACTTTCCTTGTAAACTTCCACTGACTTCCTACGCAATCATAATAAGTATCGATCGATAATTCCTTAAATAGCATTTATTTAATACACAATAGAATATTTTCATAATAATATCATTAATTTAACATATTCAATTAATAGGCATTCGTAATTCTACTATTTTCTTTAAATCGTTATCAACTAAAAAGTCTTACTAAAAAGTATTATTATAAGTAGTATATACCTGTATCAGTTTAATACCAAAACTGCAAGGAAATTCAATATATGTCTATCTAATAGAAAATGAAAACATATTTTGGTGTTATCATAGTTATCATCATAATAGAATTTCTAATGATTTCGCTACACACAGAATATCCTTCACTCCACACATAGCTAGCGGCTGGTCAGTCCTTGATTATTCATAAATAAAAATGCCTAATATAGCCCAAAATATTTTAGGAATACGGATTTTTAATCAGAGATTACACTCGTCATTTTATTCTTTAAATCTGCCACATGATAAGATATTATGCTTTATAGCAGATGAAGAAAAGACCCTTCACTAGGAATTCGCATATAACCATAGAAGCTATATATAGTACCTACTTCTTGAGTTTCGTTGAGACGGTAGAGTCGTAAACAATGATCGTTCAGTAGTGATTTAGTTTATTTGAATATACACTATTTTTACATTCTAAGCAAACTGTTAATATGACTAGTAGCTAGTAGTAATGAAATTATAAGAAAATTTGTGTAGTAAACTGCTTGATATGATTTTATAAAGATTTTAATTTCAACCATTTAAACAAAAGAATACATATTGAATTTTTTTCAATGTAACATTAGACAAAAATAAAAACATTTCCAAAAGTAGACACAAATGTCACAGATCAAAAAATTTATGACTTTACTGAATCTTGTTTTATAATGATTGTATTTCTCTCAAAGGAGCCGAGATGCCAGTCAATAAGTTGTCGGTCCGGGGTCTTCTGCCTGACACCGAATATTATATGACATATGACGGTTCCACGACCGCTCCAGCGTGCTTCGAGACCGTAACGTGGGTTATTGTCAACAAGCCAATATACATTACCAAGCAACAAGTAAGTTCTTACGAATCCACATTGATGGTGCCGTGGTTTTAGAAAATGATTCTTATATCGAAGATTGCCGTTTTGATATCCCCAAAATATAAATATTTACTAATATCTTTCTAAATCCTATGTACGCATATCATGTATATATTACAAAATCTTTAAGTATTTCCATGAATAATTCAGTAGGTACTTACACTTTTATTGGTTTAACACCGGTCTGATATATCCATAGATTTATTAAAAATTAATAAGTACTGTAATGGGTGTAAAATCAAATGTTATGGCATTACCTTATTGTCGCTGTTATGTTGAAGTTATTAGTTCTAACTTTAATTAATTAAATATGTATTATATTAAGCACATTGCGATAAACATTGAGAATGTAGTGTAGAGTAATGCTTATGTTAAGGCATCTCTAGTGTAATGTTGATTTGATCAACACCAAACCATTGTTCGTTAATTTAAATTATAATAACTTTCCGGATAAGGAAAGTACTATTAATAAAACTAATTAAAACATGAGCGCTAATTACATTAGAATAATTCAAATATACTCGACAAAATGTGAGTACACACACAATTATAAAATCTACTACATGGTATAAAATATTATAAAATAAGACCATAGGCGGTTGGGTAACTGTTTTCTTCTTTATAATTATCTCTATCGTACTAATAATAAACGTAATAATTAAATATGTAATGTACTAATAACATGTTTCAAAATTATAATAAAATAAATAAATTATATTTGCAAATAAGTATTATGTTCGTATGATATCAATGAACTAATTGTTTATCAAGTCGATGCCAATCAATACAATAGAGGGGCAGCATCCGTTCAAGCATCAAGTTTAATGTATTTGAATAATGGCCTAGCCATCAATTATGTGCTTACAGAGCATGAAAATTGCAAGTTGTTATGATGTAGAGATGCTATAAATAAAATGTATAGTGCAGTCTCAGTAATGGTATCTCAATAACTAAAATTGATACAGAGTTATATTTAGTGACAAATTATACAAATACCTATATTAATCGAATACGGAATAAAACGGCATATATTTGATTTCAATGTTAATTTTGAAAGTCTGTTATTATAAACTCTTTATTGCACCAATCGAATTAATACATTTAGACAGAAAAGAGATATGGAAGTACAAAAGGCGGTCTTATCGCTAAAGCAATCTCTTCCAGTTTAGGTAGAGAAAATACAACAAAAGTGGTAGGTGGCGCATGAATAGAATGGAAGAATATATATATATAAAGGTAATAATAGGGATAGGATAATAATACCAATAAATATTAGAAAATAACACACATTATATATACTATATATAAAATATATACATACATAGATATAAAAATATAAATTTACAAAAATTACAAGCAATATATACATACATATATAAATATATAAATACAAGTACAAAACAACAATGTCATATGCAAAGAAACAAGACACATAGCAAGAAGGAATACAGGGAGATTTAAGTGGAAAGGTAATGGGATTTAACCGAGCTCTTAAAAATGGGTAGTGATTGTGCGCTACGAATGGAGTAAGGTATAGAATTCCAAAGGCGAACAGCATGCACTGAGAAGGATTTACTGTAGAACGAGGAACTATGTGAAGGAGTTTTAAGGAGGAGATTTGATGCACTACGCAAGCCATGGTTTTGTGCCTCTCCGAGAAATGAAAATCTTTCTTTAAGATAGTTAGGAGTAACAGGATTAGAAAGAATGGAGTAAAGAAGAGAGAGTATATGCCAGTCACGGCGAAGGCGAACAGATGAGCTGTGAACGATAATGTGAAACGTGGTCATATTTGCGTAAAATATAAACCTGATGCAGAAATTTTGAAGACGCTCAAGTTTGTTTAATTGGTCTTCGGTGAGGTCCAGATAGCAGATGTCAGCGTAATCAAGGATAGGAAGGAGTAGGGTATGCGCAAGCGTAATTTTGGTGCTGACCGGCAAAAGGTTGCCTAACCTCCTGAGTGATCCCGCGGCAGCAAAAATCTTGCGACTAACTTCAGCAATCTGAACAGACCAAGACAATGTCCTATCAAAGTAAATGCCTAGGTATTTAACACTATCACTATATTCAACGTAGGTACCACCTAACACTATTCGAGGTAGGGTGCAAATTGATTCTACCAATATACCGTGGACTACCAATAATAATGGCCTGTGTTTTTGAGGCGTTCAGTGTTAAACCGAAGTTTTTGCACCAGTATATGAGTTCCAGATCTGCAGTAATCGTATCTATGGCAATGTCAATATCATCTAATGAAGATTGCGAATAGATCTGGAGGTTCTGCGTAAAGGTGGTAGGAGGAATGAAGTTGCATAGTAATGGAGTTAATAAATAACGCAAAAAGAAGCGGAGATAAGACGCCACCCTGAGGTACGCCGGCAGAAGTTTGACACCACGAGGAATGGGTATTCTCAACGCGTATGCGCTGCCGACGCCCATACAGGTAATTATGAAACCAGTCAGTTACCGTTGGAGATATGTTGATTGAACGCATGCGAGCCAATAGGACATCGATATCAACGGTGTTAAATGCATTACTCAAATCTAGGAATGCCAAAACTGTCACTTGCGAATTTTCCATACCATATCTAATATCGTCGGTGATTTTAAGTAGAGCGGTAGTCGTACTATGGCCAGCCCGAAAACCTGATTGGAAAGGGTTTAGGAGGTCATTTATGGAAAGGATATTGATTATGAACAATTCTTTCAAGGGCTTTTGAAAGGAAAGGAAGTATGGAGATAGGTCGGTAATCAGAAAAGGAAGAAGGTTTACATTTTTTTGGAAGAGGAATAATATCAGCATCTTTCCATATAGAAGGGAAAACACTTGAAGACAATGAGTTATTGAAAATGAAGGTCATTGTTGGAAGGATCACATCAAGGATAGGAAGGACCATAGCACGCCCAATGCCGTCAGTACCTAAAGCATCAGAATGTATTGATAGTAAGCTCTTCTCAACATCACAATCGGTAACTGGACTAAAATTGAAACATGGAATATTAAGGGTTGGTATGGTAGAAAGGAGATTTAGAGTATTTGTTTTAGTGTTGTTGTCAAAAACAGCGGAAGAACAGAAATGCCTATTAAGGTGGTCTATATCAATATTGAAAAAATTTGAATTGGAACTGTGACTTTTACCAACCCCTAGAGATTTAAGAAATTTCCAGACTTTAGCCGGATCACTATTTTCAACAGATGTATGAATGTGGCGACGTTGTGCCTCTACACACCTTATTACAGTAGTTTCTAGCCTTTATATATTGGTCACGGTATTTGTCAGGATCGGATTTATACTTTACCCTAGCCTTGTTCTGTTAGTTACTTCTTTACGTTTAAAATGTTGAGTGGATTATAAAGAATTTTAGCGTGAAGTTAATTTATATCGGGATGACAAAAATAGGCTACACGTTATGTAAAAAAAGCAGAGGAAGTCGCCGGAAACAGCGTAGTATTAGATAAATGGAAGAATGAATTAATAATAGAGTAAATTTATTGCCTCGTGAAATAGAAAAGGATATTAAAATATAAATTATAAGCCTCAGCCTAGTTTTAGCAGCTTTATTCATTAGAATTCATAGATTAACCTAGATTTAGTTCCCAAGTCAAGATTTGTAGGTGTAAGTATTGATTTATTCAATAATATTAGAAAGTCTTTGAATGTTTAATTGATTCTAAAAAGAACTGTGCTTTTTATATATACATACAGCCTGCCAGCATTCACATTGTGATATAATTAATAGTTCCTGTAAGGAAAATGAATAAAATTTATTGAAAATATTCTAATATATTTGAAAAGTGATGACGAGTTTTTAATTTGTTTTAACCAGATTCATTATTTGACTTTCGTGAGAAATTTGGGCATGTACAGTATATAAAGTTGAAGTACAATCCACTTAGTTCAATTAATAGTAAGCGATTGGAATTGTCTCTGTAAGTACAATAATTAGTTCCACCCTCCACATACATAGCCTTTTATACATAAGTATTATTAAGGAATTGTCAAAAAATTTAGTGTTTTGCACATAATAAACATGGCTTAAACAATAGTTAATGAGAACGGAATAATGAAATAACATTCTGCTAAATAAGCCATCATATACTTATCATGCTATATGTTTTTACGCACATTCTGCAAGTTCATTCCGTATATAAAAATATAGCAAACGTTCTTGGGATATTGACTTTCCAGCCATACCCAAAGTGAACATCTAGTTAAGTATCAGGTAACTCCATGAATTCGAGCGTGGTTGAGGCCAGCGTAATAACATTTCATTTGTGCTCACGCTACAATAAACAACTCACGTCCCTCGCCTTTAGACAAAGACTCCGAGGTGAATTATGTACGTGTTAAAAGTAAACTGAAAGTGCCGCGTTGTGTGGCTGTTATTATAAATCATTGTTTATGTTTTCCGTTTGTTGGTGGGGAAATTAAGTGCTAGTAGAAACTGCTGGGTATCTCACGGATACTTGAGCGAACGCATGCTCTAGCTTCTTAAAGTAAAGTACCACTAACAATTACGTTAATAACGAGGTAGCATTTCAATTCGTAATACTTTCATGTTTAATGTCATAATACAAAATAACTTCTGTAAACATGTTTATAGCGTCTAATAACCGTAAAAAGAGAAAATTACAGTTTGACTAAGGGTAAATCAAAGTTAACGCAGAGTCTATAATCAGAATCAAATTGTTTAATACGGCGTAAACAGCGATGGGAATGAGATAGTGGTCGCGTGCGGCGCGCCCGTTAATCCCGTACACCAGTCAACACTAACACATAAAACGAAGAAATTTCAATTTACTCGAAATCGGCCGTCTCGTCGGTTGTATTGGGTAAATCTTTACTATATACGTGAGTGTAACATCGTAGCATTCTTATTTCTAATAAAACCTTTAATTTGTATTATATGTCATGCAATATAACAGTAGATATGCATTAGCATGCGATAATAAACTCACAATCACAATATCTGCTAAGTGTCGGTCATGTTGCCCACTAAGAATACAAATGTGTATATTGTACAGTATTATAATATTACGTAGTTTAAAAAAAAATGGTTTAGTTCTTTCTTTCTTTAAATATTCTTATTCTATATGCATACTTGTAACTCGATTAACTTAGATTAGATCAGTATGTATACGAACAGGAAACTTTGTATCGTAGTACGGTGATTTACTATAGCGACTTAGATTGTGAGTTCAAATTTAGCCAACATTACACCAAAAATCTTTCAATATAAATCTATATTTCTTACAGATTGTCTGATGATGAGAACATCAATAATAAACCATATTAATCCGAGAGTTAATGATACATTTACCCCCTGTGATATTTTACTTTTATGATACCCAGTGATATGGTGGCTATGTATTTTATATTCTATATATGTTAAATGATGCGCCTACCATGACAACAATATTGAAAAATTGAATTGAAGTTGAAAATGTCTCTGACTGGGTGGAAAGGATATTGCTAGTAATGCATACTGATTACCCCATTGCTTGCAATGTACCATGTCAAGTTGACCTCCGTGTGGTTCCCTAACGAAACCATCGTGATGAATTCCTAGCGAATGTGTTACGATGGGTTAACTGACCTAATCTGTTCATCTTATCATCCTCCACTAGCAGGGCGCTAGCGTAAACCGTTAGCGCAGGTGGGTGCTAGGTACATCGTCTCGGATAAGAGTTATGAACCTATATTCCTATTGCCATAATAGAACGGCTGCCATGATTTACTTGATGAGTTCGACCGCGACTTGGTTTCAGTACAATAGTTTCCAATTATTAAAATTGATAAAAAACAATAAAGATTTTCTCTTTTATTTTATTCAATTTTATATATGCACATACTAAGTTCCGTTAGGTACTTACAGATTGAATATTTTTATTCCTTGCTATAGTTGCATGGCCTGAGGAGACTAATGCAAGGAGATGCGCGGCATCCGAAGGCACCCCTTGGTAACAACTTCAGGCCACCGCAACCCCTGCATCACCGTGCCGTGAGAACCAATATCGACTTCGATTTGAGCAAGGTAATTTCATGTTAATTTATCATTATTATAATAATTATAATTACCGTCTCATTTGCTGGACAGTGGTCTCTTCTCGTAAGAGCAGGATACTATTATACATTGGGTCCAGTTGACTGCGATCAAACTTCGAATAATGATTATAACTTTCAAAACATTCAAGCACAAGAACCCCCTTTCAGTCCATAAAATTATTTTCTCTAGAATTGCAAAATAATTTTAAGGTACATAATAAAGTAACTGTGTTGCTTGCTGTCTTATACAGCGACAATTTATTCGTACTATTATTTTTTCTGAATATAATTTACTAATTGTATTACTTTGAAATAATACAATTACACACAGAAAATATAAGTCTGAAATAAATATATATTATTATTATAATATGACAACTAAATAATGGTATGCTTTTTGCAGTATCCTGGAAAGACTTGCCCAAGTATGCATCGAGACATGCATTATAAAGGTAGAATACATATTCATTTACTTTTAACAAATTACTAACTGTATCCTACTGTAAACATTAAAATAATTGCAAATTGATATTGACATTTTCGCCAACATTAAAATGTATATATATTACATTTTCACATTGACAAAAGTTGTATTTATTATGCTAATCTTTTATTTTTTATATTGCAGCTAAAAGCTGGACACAATACTGAAGAAATTTTAAGTTGAAACGGTAGGCATTCATGTACACTAAATAGTCGCTACGTAGAAGATATTAATAAAAGATAAGTAATTGTAAATATATTTTGTACAGTTCTATGACTATATCTTGCTTATGACAAATGGAGCTAAACTTAATACTAGGTAGGTAAGTGTAAGTAAATATGTAAGGCATTGGATAGCGCTGAAGTATGAGTAGCTTCCGGTAGAAAATTTAATGTGATGATTAATCGAGTTAGATGTTACACTTGATATTTCATAAAGGCCTCTAATTAGGTAGGACATACATACATATTTTCGGATAGATTGTTTAAACTATAATGTCGATCTCGCTGTCAGTACTTAGTACCTAATGAAGTAGTATTATTAAATAGAGAGTACAATTAAATAAAATTACTCTATTTCCAATAATATAAATTATTATAAACTATACGGTTTTGTATCCTTTACAAAATTAGCTCTATTGTATTATTATATCAATCTTTTCAGAATATGTTTTAGTTTATATATATGTAGTTACATACGTACATATCTATCTCCTGTGAATAGAACTTAGTGGTTGAAATAAAAACATATCTGTTAATTTTGTTTTCTCATATTACGGCTATGTGTTATAATGTTCAATATATAACAGAATTTAGAGATGTTATCATACCAAATTATAAGATTACGTAAATTAGAATAACTAGATAACTTTTATGACTGTACTTATAAATACTAAACGAAATTAAGTATTTTAATGTAACTCTATGACATCTATAGCTTTAATAAGAGGTATGTCGTTAAGTAGGCATACTACTGCTACCAATGTAATGTTACTGAATTTCCATGATCCTGTAATGTATATCGCCTGGCTTATTAAGGTCCTATTAGAACTATTATTATTTGAATAAATTATATCTCCCCAAAACATTCTTTTATTGATTTCTATTAGTTTTTAAGATAAAATACATAATGTTCCGCCGGATATTTTACATGTTAACGCAGTCAGCCATCAAGAGTTCGCGTTTACGTTTCTCTAATGCAATGGAATGAAACCATCTGTTTTAGTGTTTCCTCCATTCTCATGTTTGAATAAAAAGCTCATTTGAATTCTATGAGAATCGAAATTGCTCTCTTTTTCGCTGTAGTAACTTAATTTAATCGAGTTCCATCACAATGTCCTTTACCTTTAGATTGGGGACTTGTACTCATACAATATAAAGGTGAAATGAAAATTACAATTTATTTTTATTGGTTATCCAAGCTGTGGCCGCTGCTGTATTTAATATTAAACAATTTTATTCCTATACAGTAGAATGAAAATAAAATAAGTGAGCAATTTATGTTAGCTTAGCCATAGTATTGTAAGATTCTATTATTCTTCTCCTATGTAAAAGATTTAAATTTCGAATGTTATTCTAAATACCCAAATTTTAATATCTTAACTTTAAACTTTGAAACTTATCAGAGGAATACAAGCCTAGAAAATAAAAATATGAATTATATATTTTTTTTTCTTTTCTTGATATATATTTTAGACATATTTCGAGTCAAGTCTAGTGTAACATGCCCTCTAGTATGGTTTGTATAAATAACAGTATTGGTGTGGTTTACAGAAACGTCACTTAATGCTTCGATGACCAAAACGTTTCTCATAATAGATTTTTTTTGTAAAGACATTATTTATTAGTTAATTAGAAATTATATACCTGCTACGAAACGTAATATACTGTTTTCCTTTAAACGATATATAAACTGAAGATTAAGATACAGCGAAATAAATCGCTCCATTTCCCGCACAGGAACCAGAGTTGTCGTTATTGGAAAAGTTTCCGACGGTCGTCGTTAATAGACTTACACAAATTGAGTTCGTTACAAATAATATAATTGAGAGTAGTCTTCCTCTGAAAATGTTACACGTGCTTAGACACATCTGAATGTCGAATTGTAGGTTGACAACTAATAGGTGATTGTGCATAAAGTTCAATTAACAATTCGGACTTTAATACAAATAATATAATTTAGTTTACTAAATGAAAGTTTTAACTATAATAAATAGCATTTAAATTTACAGTATGTAATTCCATTTATACTTTAATGTCTTATTTCTTTTTGTATATAGATTATCTATTCGTTTCTTTCGAAAGAATTATTAAGGTACAAGGCAAAGAGTACGTTGACTAATCCAGATAAATACGGGCTGTGCTATAAACCTATATATTCATATATCATTACATAACGTAAGTTTGTTTGTCACTTCAGTAGCATAGAAACATAAACTTCAAATGACTTGCATTCTAAATGCTATTCAGATACATACATAAATTTAGTTTAATTATTGTGCATACGTAGAACTGAAATACGTGTGAAGATAAAACAGTTTTTTTTATTAATTTTCTGGTGAACATTCAGAATTGCACAAAAATTGAGATGTTAGTCAGTTATAGTCAACTTTTGGGTTAGACTGTCAGGCAACTTATTATTGTCGAGCGGCTGATATTCGACTAGGCTTTTCATTGGTTCCTGTACCTACCTATTCCTAATTAGCGTAGTAGTAAAATCCTTAATATTGATCGGTAGCTACCACAATGATAGTATAACAAATGTAGTAAACTATTATTTTATTAAACGTAACGACATTTTTACCTTTTTTACAAACTATAGTTGTAAAAAAGGTAAAAATTAAATTTGAAAGAGTGCTAAAAGAGTAACAACACTTGAGATTAATTTAAAATAGACAAGCTAAATAGTACATCGCAAAGAGGAAGATATGTACTTTCAATGAAAATTTAATTAATAACAAGCAAGGTTACTTTAAAAAAATTATAATCTTCTTCACGCTATATGAATTACAAAGTTAGACCTTTACTGCAGAAGTAAATGACGTAATAGAGTAGATACTTTTTACTATGTCTTATCTTTTATTTTCTTTGGCAAGGAAGCTGAATAATATTTTACCTTTACTGCAATAATAAAAATGTTTTTGTTAAACCAATTCACGTATTATAAATCCAGGGGGAGAGCATGTTTACACAGCCCGCTAAACACTCTACGCGAAGCGCGTCTTGAGTGTGCACTCCAATTCGAGTGTGAGCGCAATGTACTTCAATGTCTAGTTTATTTGGTTTATATTCAGACGATGACACAGATTTGAAGTCAGAATGGCTCAAATGTCAAATGTTTGACACATCCAGCCGATGTCAAAAACTTTCTATTTATGTATACTTTGTAATTGCTACTAAATATGCATTAACATCTACTGAGGGGATCTTTAGATATTTGTTTTTAAATATTGAAACCTACTGGACTGTAAATTATTCTGCCAACAATATTTAAATTTTTTTAGATGTAGATATTTAAGCCGAATATTTTTAATTTTTCGTAAATATTTGTTACTATTTTCTGTCACAGAAGCCTTGGAACTGCCTAACAAGTGTAAATACAACAAAATAAATCATTAATTTATCCACAGTTGTCTTGAAGTGATGCACTTTAGACATAGTTATCTGGATACTTCAAGATAAACCGTATCAGCAGTACGTCCAATTAATTAAGAGAATAATTATGTCATTGTCTGATTAGTCAAGTTATTATCTAATAAGCACTGCACGAACATTTCCTATTTTTATAGGATTTCATCAATTATACAAGGTACAGTTTGTCAGTTTACTATCATCCATTAAAACATCCTGTCTACGTACAACAACGTATTACTGTAACACACTTAAATACATACAGTACTTCATATTATATAATAATTATAGCACATTTTATATAAGAAAAAGATAATACATGTTTTCTTAAAATAATTTCGTATACCAATGGTATAATACACGCAGCTGGCAACCATTTCTAATTCAAGTGGTTGGAGTTAAAACTTTTCATAGCAATTGCAACACGCTCGAACAGATACAGAAGCCATTTGGACTTTTATGCAAATATGTTGTGGAACTTGTGCACTTGTACACTTGTATTGTTTGTATACTTGTAAGAACTACTGTCAAGTTACTAACATATAATTGACTATGTTAGTGATATTACAAAATCTTATTCACTATTTTTTACGACAATTCTATTCAATTGTGCACCAGGACATCTTAGAGGACAAGCATGTCAGGTCTGCTAGTCCACCGCACTAAAATAACCAGAAATTAACAACATTTTTTTCAAGGAGACCTCATAGTAGCCATGGGCAGTAATGAAACTAATAGTCATTATAGGGCGCAAAGGGTTTGTTAGTGATGTGGACTAATGTGATAAAAATTGCTAGCAGTGTACCAAGACAGTTGGACCTCCACGCGGTTCCTCCTGTAAACTATCGTGATAAACTCCCTGTGAATTTGTCATAATAAGCTAACTGAGCTGACTTCATGTTCATTCTACCTCCACTGGTGCCAGCGTAAATCGTTAGCGCAAGCGGATGCACCATTCCATTATTATCTACTAAAAAAAATACTACCCATAAAAATCTTCCCTCCGTGAATTTTATTGACAATATTTTTTTAATTAATTGTGCTGAAAATTTGAGTCAGTTCTGTTCATTATAATTAACTAGCTACCCACCCCAGCTTCGCACAGGTGTACATGTATTATACATATAAACCTTCCTCTTGAATGACTATATACATTAAAAAAACCGCTTCGAAATCCGTCGCGTAGTTTTAAAGATATAAGCATACATAGTCACAAACACCGACAGTCTTCGTTTTATACTATATAACTATGTAATATTATATACTATGTAATGATTAATTGAAAGATAATTTAATGTCATAGAATTTGCTTATGACATTCTACATAATAAATATGTGGGTGCTTATATAAAATTTAGTTACATTTAGAAGCTCAGATTAGATAGTAAGAATTTGAAATTAAAGTTTCGTTCAGAGCCTTACCGTTTCGTTAGATGGAAGTCAAGTCGAACCTTTGAGATTTTATAACTTATGAATAACTTAGGAATATTAAAATATACGTAGAATGGACAGCCAAATAAATACCTCAAAGGAAAGTTATTCAAATATCCTATTGGAAAATTCCGAAGTAACTATAGTTGCTGATAACGTACGGAGGTCGAAAATATGTAGCAGAAATAAGTTTTCGAAGAGAGTTATAACTTTTGAATATTCTTTTGATTGTATTTAAAATCCAAGTAAGAAGAAGAGATTCTTAGTGTAATAAATATTTAGACTTTTATTTTTACTCACATTTGCTTTACTTAAATTAAATATGTCAATTAATTCAGTAACTCATTTTTATTAGACTTTTTTAACTTATCTACAGTGAATTTGATAAAACTAACAATTTATTTTTTATTTAATAAAAATATAAAATCATCACATTGTGTGCATAATTCTAGTCTGAGAGTTGGGACTAAAGCACGTTAATGTAAAAGTCAAATTATTTCTGTAAATAATTTTGTAAAGCAACAGAATTTATCCTATACATAAATAAAACTATCTTACATTGACAACACTATCTGAAATATCGAAAAAGTAATCCTCCTTCATACCTCAACTAACTCTTTATTTGTACGGCCGTACCCTCGAGGGCAGAAGTTAAAAACAGCTTTCACCGGCCGACGCGTTTGAATAAGTTTCAGTGAAGTTTTATTGAAGTTGTAACCTTCGGGTCTGTTTGATATATGTACCCCGCATCTGTAGCCCGTCGCGGCCAAAGTTACTGCACTCGTAAATTATTCAACCCCACTCTATGTACTTACTTATGTGTCGTAACCCGCTGTTCGATTAACAACTCGACTATATTTCACTAGTACAACAATAACGGTTACTAACTTTAACAAAGCTCAATGTCACGTAATATATTGATATTATTATTACCATTATTCAGAGAGCATCGTGGCCTAGTGGTTGATTACCCTGACTTGGTCAACCAATTGCCAACGATGATCGCGCATTCA